GGACAAAACTAAAGTACAGTAGCGGAAGCAGTGCGACTTAAATAGGTCAAACGAATAGAGTTTAATAAATATGAAACACTGAGTTGGATCAGTGATGTACAGGCAACAGATGTCACTGCGTTGTATCAGTGATAGGGATGAAACATGATAGACGTGAAACATGATGTAAGTAAGACAGGAGACAAGTAACAGGTGATAGATATGAAACACTTGATGGTGATGAAACATCAAGTGATGTGATCAGTAGTATAGTACAGGGTCAACGACAAATAGTTAGGAAAAGAAAAGAAACCCCCCTCTCAGGCTGTAACAGTTTCACTGGGTTGTATCAGTGATGAAGGTGAAACATTTGATAGAGATGAAATGTGATGTAGGTGAAACATGATATAGGTGAAATGCAATAGATATGAAACAATGATGTAGATGAAACACATCAATGATGGGATCAGTTGTACAGTTATAGGGTCAATGATGAATAGTTAGGGAAAGAAAAAGAACCCCCCTCTCATGCTGTAACAACAGCTTCTTGCCAATGTTAGCAAGTACATCACGGCATCCGAAGGATACAGCAGCAACCCCCAGGAATTTGTGGTTTACAACAACAATGTAATCCAACAACCCTCCAACGACATTACCCAGTCTTGGTGATCTATCCCCTTTGACACATCCACCCTTGTTCAAGATGTTGATCTCTTGGAATGCGTTCTACCCCATTTTCCTGGAGCCTATGCCAACTTTGTTACATGACCTCCTATAGGCATTCCCATTGATGGCAATCCAGTGTTTGGACTATGATGAGTATCAATTACTGCAGCAGCAGCATTGCATACTGCTGAACCTGTAGGGAACTGGAATGCTTCGGACAAGGAATGGGAGGAGGATACTTGGGAGTACTTGCTGGTGTGAGATGACAATTTATTAGAGAGTCTTTGGGCATTGCTCAAAGATATTTGGGACCCAGGAGTAACTGATGAAGTTGATCATTTCAGGGCTGTCAATGCGAAGATTGATCTCCTTCTAGCAGCACGACAATCCATAGGAGTGGAACTCCTTCGCATGGAAGAGGAGATGAATCAATGTTGCACACGTCTCAAGGCCACCAATTTGGAGGAATGACTCAAATACCATGAGTTCTCCATTATCACTCCCCCTTCTAGTGCCATGCCTTGCTGCCTTTGCTTCTGTACCAAATGCAAGGTCAATGGTCGCCTTCAAAGTGAGTGTTGGCATTGGCTATGCTCTTATTGTGGACTCCTACATCCCCATCACAAATTTCGCACTGCTGCTGATTGAGCCACTATAATAAATAGTGGTTTGAGAGCATATACTGGTTGAAGCTAGGCTTCAGACTGGAACTAGAATAGACAACTGAGTCTATTACTGAAGATGCCCCTATGAAGTGTACGTAGGGAACAAGAGGACAAAACTAAAGTATAGTAATGCAAGTAGTGCTCCTTAAATAGAGTAAGTAGATAGAGTTTAATAAGTATGAAACAATCTGAGTTGGATCAGTGATAGGGATGAAATGTGATATAAGTGAAACACAATATAAATGAAACACAATATAAGTGAAATATGATGTGGGTGAAACATGATAAAGATGAAACACAATAGATATGAAATGTTTGATGCAGGTGGAACGCACCAAGTGATGGAATCAGTTGTAGTTGTGCAGGGTCAATAATGAATAGTAAGGAAGAAAAGAAAACCCCCCCTGAAGCTGTAACAATAGGAGGTAGCACCTGATATACAAGCTAGAAGGATTGATTGGGGTGAATCCTGCTGGTCCAGCCTCTGCATGAGGTTAGCAGTATAGAGTCTATCTGTGCAAGTGTCCAGAGCACCTTCTACTTAAGCAACAGACTGCAGGACCTCATTTTCAGCAAGGCCTTCTGTGCTTGTAGAGTCTGATACTGATCTACCTCCTCAAGTAAGGCTTTATCCTCAATAGCCTTCAATTGCACCCATAGGACTTCTGTGGCCACCTCATCCTGAGTGCTGAGGAATTCAGTAGTATCTGGATCCCAAGGGTTGTTACAGGGACTAGGTTGTAGGGAGGCTTTCTTCAGGTGTTGAGGTAAAACAGTCATGAGTTGGCAATGTTGGAAGACAGGATTGGTAGGGAGGTTAATGATGACTAGGGGATGGACATGAGCTGCTAATGCCAATCCTTCAAGATAGGACAGTATGTGACCAATGGAAATGGTGTCGCCAGCTGGTTCAGCATTAGGAAGTATGGTGGGCATGATGAGATTACCAGCTCTGGGGTCTGAACTGTATGCACAATGAGTGAAAGGTTGTTCAGCAAAGACTATGTTAAGGGACCTAATGACTGGGGATCAGGAGTTCGACTTATGACTGATACTGGTACTGATACTGATACACGTAAGGCTGATGTGTTGTACTTGTACTAGACTTGTAAACTGAGCCACTGTAACTAACAGTGGTTTGAGAGCATATACTGGTTGAAGCAGAGCTTCAGACTATGACTTGGAATAGACAACTGAGTCTATTACTGAAGATGTACATCCCTATGAAGTGTATGTAGGGAACAAGAGGACAAAACTAAAGTACA